ACGAAAATTAAAATTGACCAATTTTGAACCCAATATAGCGAACCTTGCAAAAAAACACCAGGCCCACCCATCTTATTGATCAAGAAGCAGTAAATCTTTAGTTACTTTACTTATTATATCTACTTATGCATAATTACTTATTATTTAATAATAAGGTATTTAAATTTCAATATTAATATATTTTTCATAAAACTATTGTTACATAATGTACTATTACTTTAATAAATGTTTAAAATCATAAAATAAATGTACAAACACAGTATCTAATAGAGTTTTATTTTAATTAACAGAAAATTACTTTTGCGGGGGTCGATGGAGATTTCGAAAAATTATATAGGGGTCGATAATCAAAAAAGTTTGGCGACCCCTGTTCTAAAGAGTTATTACACAGTGAAGATCAGTTGTGCTATTAAAAAAATTTTAGTTTGCCTTGAAATTCATTTGTTCTTAGAATCGGCTTTCATGGATCTAAACAGCTCTTTATCCATATTCTTTATGTCTGCACATATTAGTTTAGAGAAGCCATAAAAAATTTGGGAAACTATTATTGACATCAATGATGCTTACGTAATTGTGATAGTAGGTACTTATGGCACTATGATACAAATTTATTGATATCCTAATATAAGTAACTAACATAAATACTAGAAAAATAGATCTTACACTGCCTCCAAACTGTTAAGTAACAAATCCGTACTTAAACCTTTTTTCCACCCTTCAGATAAAAATTTAATAGCATTATGTAAACAGGCAGTGGTTCTCTTTTTTACAGCAATAAAACCCTAAATGATCAACTTTTTTTGGCGGAACACTGAAGTTCATTAGCAATAATGAATCTAGAGAAGCACAACTGATTATTTTGAAATTACTTAATGTGAAGAATGAAGTTTTTTTCAACTTTATATCAATAAGTCTTAAAATGAGGTTTTATATATAAAACAATTGGATTTGATGGAATTTGGTTATTTTAATTTGAATTGAAAAGTTACAGTAACCCAACTTTTTACAAATCTAAATCCTTTTCATAATTTATTCAATGTATTAGAACGTATTTAAAATTTAGCAATTTCCTTATTCACTGCATTTTACTTTCCGTTTCCTAAAAATAAATGAAATATTAAATAATTGATTAATGATCGGATAATATAATTAAGATTTTCAAAACTCATTACTGTTTTAATTTTGAACTCCTGGAAACTCTAGGACCCTTCCCCTATGGTTCCACAGAACACATGCTGGGAACAGCTGTGTTAGAGAAAAATATTACTTATACTTATTACTTTTGTAAAAGATATATCATTGTAAGCCTATAGTTTTCCATATTACGATATTTAAACATAATTTTTCATTAACAATCATTAGGAAAAACGATAGTAAAAATACTTTTTCTTACAATTTTATTTTTGTATCCCTTTAGAAACGATAAAATCATATTTTTACCATATTTTTGTGTTGATTTTTAAATATAATTTTTAATTTTTCACAAATTATGTCTAAATTTTCACAAAATAGGTACCTCTCAGAAAAACCTAGACAGACCCCTGATTAATATCGTAACAGTAAAACGAAAAAATGAACAGGATTTTAAAGATAATATTCAAATCCAACTACGATATTCAAATTCATACGATAATCATAGAGATCTGAGAAATTGATAACAGCTTTTAAATCTTTGTACTGTACTCTCTCAAAAAGAAATATGGCTGCAATTAAAAAAGAAATAATAATAAAAAATATAATTAAACTATACAATTTTGCCGAATGTCAATTTTGACTTCTAATGAAAAATACATTTTTTCTCTCATAAATTTAAATGATCGAATTCAAAGAATAGCTTGTTACAATTAGAACTGTTTAGAAAAATACTAAAATGAAATTTTAAATTAAAAATAATACTGTACGAAATAAATACTATAATTAAAGTTTCATGAAACAAGCAAGTCACTACTATGATACGAACCTGTTCTTCTTCGGAAGTTAAGGAGGTATCCATGACGGATGTTGCTATAATGATCATAATTAAAGTAGCATGATAAATATTAAAGTATACAAATTTTACATAAACTAATGTTCGTCAAATTAAATGTCAAAGATCTTTTACTTCCCATTTCCTACCATAACAATATACTAATGTTTTTAATTTAACTTTAAGCAGTTGCCAAAAATTATATTCGCAAGTTAAAACTTGCAAGTTAAGAGAATAAGGCTTAACATATAGCATACTAAAGGTGAAGAATTTTTTTTTTACAGTTTGTTTTTTACTGGCGTTTCTGATCAGTTGCCACCAGGCAACCGCTGATTGTGATGACGTTACTAATGCAATAAAAATTAAATTATACAATTAAAATTTTAATGAGGTATCTGTATTTTAGTGAGGTTGAATAAGAATATTTTTTATTTTTAAGCTTAGTTTTGGCTACTAATATAAAAGGATATAGGTTCCCTTTCCCGAAAACACAAAAAGTCTTGTTTTCTTATTTTATAGAAAGTTGAGAATTTTCCACAAATTTCTTAGAAAAAAACAAGCAAAAAAGCACTTAATTTTTAGACTAATCGGGCCGTCAGCAGCCTTTGGCTGTTGGCTCGGGTCACTTGTCTCTGACCCCTTACCCTTGAGTATGGTGTATGGTCCTTATAAAGAATGAACAAATTACTTTTGTGCGCAACTATTACTACCAGTCTAGCTCGAGAAGTTAAAGAATGTCTCTAAAAATGTTTCATTAACATTTTGATAACGGGACCAAGTTCACAAAAAGGATCTACAGACGTGAAATTTAAGATAAAAGATATCTTCTAGTAATACCTGGTTTTTCAGTAATAGTAATTTCATAAAGGAATGTGCGCTTTCTAGAAAGGAGAACATCTATTTAAGTTATAGAAATAATAGCTAAAATTCGAAAGTATTAAACACTAGTCAGATTTTTTTCCAAATTGTAATAAGTAAAAATAAAGGGGGGGAAGTGTCAAACTTTGTGATGAAGTTATCATTTAGCTAATTTAGAGAAAATTTAAATATTTTAAAAATCTCAATAAAAACCTATAATTTGGATAAAGTGAACAATCAAATAACTTTGTTAAATATTTTGCATTCACTAAATTATTCTGGGAACAATTCTATCTATAGGAACTGAGCTCACATAGGATTTCTCAATTAAGAATAACCTAGAGATTTTAAAAATAAAGATATGATTTATTTTTTTGGCAGCTTTATTTGAATTATTTTGCAATAAAAGAATTTCCTGTAACCAAATTAATCTGAATGCTTGAGTGTCAAATACTATGACATTTATGATTAGAAAATTGCGTCATAATCAAAATTTCTTCCATCTATGAAAATTGTCAACTGTTATGACTAATCCAGTGGACAGGAATTTTTTTTTAAAATTATGTTGTACCACTTGATTCTTCTAAAATCTGTTTCGTGTAAAAAAATTTTTTAAAAAACACGACTCAAACATTCCAATTATTTCAACATGGGTTTACATATTAAATTAGATTTTTATGAACCTAAAGTTTTTTTATCACTTTTTCTACTATTTTAACCCTTTTTTCAGAGGCATCTAATCAAGCACTTTTATCTCCGGGCAACATTATACCTCTACACACCACTGATTTGAAAGTGCATGCATCAAATAAACTAATGATTAACAAATTAAGTCAAACTTTAAAAATGAATAAATAAAATAAAACATACCAGGTTATATTGTTGAATGAAACTTATACTTTGAGGACTTAGCTCATCCAACGATCAGAAGATCAATTTTTTTTAAAACTATTTTGCAACACCAAATAATTTGGCAAACTATTTCAAGTGAAGAATGTATGTAGAACGTATTAATGGCGCTATTATTTAGAATATAGAACCAGAATTTAAAAAATAGATAAATAAAATTTCCTTTGAAATTTATCAAAAACCTCATCAATCACTTTGAGGACATGACTCAACCAGTGGTTACTTTATTTTAGGTTATATCCTTAGAGATAAGACTTTTATTTAGGTTATACCCTCAGATTTTGACTGAGGCCATTTTTTATCTGATTAAAATGGACATAAGACATCTTAAAGACGCTATTTTTTTTGTCTGATTTTAACTGGTAAAACGTTTGTTTCAATTGATAAAACTATATACAGATGAAAATAAAGTAAAAATGATCACTTCAAGTGCTTTTTATCCGACAAATTGAAATCTTACACTTATAAACTAATAATTAAGAGATCCACAAGAAATAAAAAGCTCAACATTTTTTTTGTTTTAAAAAATTTATTTATTAAACTCAAATACACTATTTTATTTAATGCACAAAGCAATATAAGATACATTCTAACATATTTAGTTGGGATTATGTTTAAAACGAAAAACAAAGCCATATCATTTTAAAATTAAAGTGTCAAAGCTTAAAGTACAAGAGATATTTTCAAATCAAATAAAAAATGCAACACTTCAATACAAAACCATAGCACTTCCCAGGAGATAAAGAACTGATTCTTTGAAAACTAACTATTTAAGTTTACGGACATGCAATAAAAAAATCTTCCATTTACTGAACAGTTTATTTTAATATTAAACAGTTATATTAAAAAAGGAACATGACATAAACAAAAGAATTCCCTTCAGAGAATCATTACAAAAAATATCTGAAGGGTTTGCGATAAAAAAATAGGTAGTTTTATTTTTTACATGATACTGTTTTAAAATACTAAAAGTAATTTTCAATTCAAAAATTAATAAAACAGTAGAACAACACACTCAATTATTTAACATAAAAATCCTTGAATTATACTTTTTATGGTAGAAAAAAAATGGTTAAATGTTTTAAAATTTCTACAGTTCTTGAGGTTTGAAAATATAAAACAACAAAAATGTGAAAATAGAGCTAGCTAAATTCTTAAAAAAAATCATTTAATTGTTTATGTTTCATAAATTTACACCATTATTTCTTAATGATAATCTGTTACCAGAGGTATCCAGCACCTTATAAATCTCAACAAAGTGTACTCTTACAAATATAGGATCTATTTATTCCCATTTTAATGAACTCATAAGTTTTTCAGTTACTAAGAAGATTGCACTGATCCAGTTCAATCTAAATTGCAATTGCATCTCCACTATTCCAGATTTACAAAGGCACCCATTGGAACAATATTGTAAATAGCATGATTTTTCAAGAAAAATTTAACCCTACTAAATTTTTCTTTTGGGAAAGAGGGAAAACACTTGAAAAAAAAATTATATACGTAAATTTCAAACTAATTATTAATAAAAGGTTTTGCATTGGTCTCCAGTTTTAGACTCTAAGCAAATGATGAATAGTACAGAATAGAGCTTTGGGAAGCATAAAAAAAAGAAAGAAAAAAAAGAATGTGATTTTGATTTGTTTGGTAATAGCTGTCGACATCTGCAGTTTTCACACAAGTCTCAGGACAACACTTCATAATGTAAGTCTAACAGACATTGTCTCAATGGTGGGAGTTATTTATTCCTATATTTTTTTCAAAAAAAAAAACCCCCTCTCGTTATGAAGGTTTATTACATAAGAATGGGATTACATACTTAACATTTCCTTGTTAAAACAAATCAATTTAGAAGGATGGAAGGACATATACTCCTTGGCCACCCCTGTGTTAGCTGTTAAAAACAGTGTGGGCATATAGCCAAAAATATATGAAAATTAAAATGTTGCTTGAGAACATATATAGGATTTTGTAAATCTAAATTACTTTTTTTTTATATAATTGCAAGCAAAAATGTAAATTTAATCCAATATATTAGAATTCGTCTAAATTTTAAATAACAGTTAAAAAAGAATGTTCAACTCACACTCAATGTGCATCTACTAAATGAATAAGAATGCTGACGTGTTTTAAAAACTTCATTTTAATCAACTAATGAGAAAGTATAAAAAATATACTGCAATTAATACAATGTTCTTATTAAACTTTGAAAAGTGATAAAAATTAGAGATTATAAGTAATAAACATATTCATCAATAAAATTTGTCTGAAAAGGCACAATTTTATAAAATAATTCATATTAATTTATGCAAAAATACCTTCAAATAGATTTATATACTGAAACCGCACATAAATTATTCAATGCAATTTTAAATTGCCTATAATATCTTTCGAAATTAATTAATTCTTTTAAAAACGTCTTATATTTTTAACAGAAGTTCAACCATTTACAGTATCTCCTAAATTTTTTAGTAATGCACAGAAATAACAACACAATTGGAATGTGTGCTTTTTACGAATACTTATTTAGCAAAGTAACTGCTAAAATGAGTTAACATTTAATAAATGCAATTAGGTCCGGATTTGCATAGTCTTCATCTGTGAGTTCAGACAAACTGGTGAAAGACACAACTATATTTGAAATATCAATAAGGATTTAAAAGCACAGTGACAGTCAGCTCACATATCAATTGAAGGCAGAGGGTGGCAGATTTAAATCTGGAGTGAGACTTAAGAAGATGCTTCGAAAATACATGCAAGGTGAATGTTAAATCTGTCATTGTGAAGTGGAAGTTTCGTGTTTACTATATCCTCTGAGTGGTGTCAAGTTTATGTGGTACTCCAATCATAGTCTTTGGCATACAAAGCCAGGAAAAAGGGTTAGGTGCTTGGCCATGTTTGCCTGTGCATGATTTAAAAAAGGATATCAATAGAAGTATTTCTAAAAATAAACCAGTTGGCAAACACCTTAACCTATTTCAGAAAATAATTTATATTGAAATTTACAAATTCTTGAAAAAGTTAATGGTTAATGGGAAAGCAAATAGGTAAAAGCAAAAATAGATTTATATTGTAACTGCCAAGATTATATAATTGAGAGAAAGATACATTTAGCAAAGTGCTATGTAATGCAAGAAGTATTTTCTAAGAAAACAAATTAAAAATGAGTTATTTAAAAACATACAAACATAAAATTAATCATGGAACCCATACAATTTGGTTACGAAATCTCACTAAAATGTCTACACCTTTTTTTCGCTCAAATAAACTCTTATATACATATGTATAATGCAATAGGAATGCCAGCAAACTTAATGCATTATTTAAGCTTTAACACAAGGCAATGATATTAAAATACAACCATTAAATAAAAAATACGAAGAACAATTGCCAACAATACTCAAAAGCTTTTATCTCTTTTACTTAGAAGCAACAATCTTCTGAGTGTCAAGAGTTGAAAAGAATAACTAAACAATTAAGCATATACACATAGAAATCCAAAACAGTATTAAACTGAGTTTAAAAATTTAGTGCATTTGCAAGCACTTTTAGCAAAATTTTAAAGTACAGCAAATAAATAACAATTTATAACTTTAACAAGATTTAGTCATTTTAATTGTGAATGTGTTTTAATACTAGATTATGTGAGATATGTGCTAGTACATAGATATAACAGTTCAGTAATAGTTTACTGACAAGAACAAATAGGAAAAGTTTCTATGAGTTATATCACAGTTATTTTCAAGAAAATATTAAAAAAGAACAAAGATAACTAATCAAACAAAAATTCAAAATACTTAACTGATGCAAAATGTTAATCAGTTTTGTATAAATATTATATAAAACAGTTAACCCTAATAATTCATACAAGATGGAGACAATAATTTTATTGCATCAATCTGAAGTGCTGTATACTAATAAAGTAAAAAATTTAAAAGTGTAGTTGTTTTACAGTTAGTTTTTTAAATAAAGAGCAGCAGTTATATAGTTTCTTTTCTGAGTAATTCATAAATATCAATGTGAAATTAAAGTTTTAAAAGAATTTTCAGAGTATATCAATAGTACTTCAAAATGAAAGGAGTCTGATGATAAATAGTTGATTTAAGTTTATTATGATTTCACATTATCAAACACTGATAAGAGTTCACTCTTGAGTTGAATAGTGATAATATTCTTGGCATTAATTTTGATAGTTTTTAGTAAAAGTTCCATCTATATTTGATTAAAATATAGTTTTGTGTTTATATGACATAAACATAGCATGAATGTGAAACTATAATAGGATTTTTTAAATTCTTAAAACTTGCACTTGTTTATTTCAATTAAAATTATTTATTTAAACAAATTTTTCATTAAAACTTTTAACACAAAAGCTAATTACTAGGAAAATGTGTATCCTTTTTTTAAACTTAACAAGAAAAAATTTGAATTTCCATCAAAATGGCCAATAAAAAGTTAAATAAAATATTTAGGGCTCTGTAATGACATAATACTTAAAATTATTGAAAAGTTCTGGTTTTTATTAGAGCACTAAAAATATAATATAAGAGCAAAATCGACAAAAGTCTTGTGTCTTTTTTACATGCATAAAAAGTTTTATTTTCTAGGAAAAAAAAATCTTTGGCATACAATAGGAGAAAAAGGAAGGAAAATCAAATTTAAGCTTGATTTTATGCGAATTTTCTAAGAGTATAATTTTTTGAAATTGAAAATATATTCAATTTCATAACATTTTTTAATATAAGCATAATGTAAACATAATTTAAAAATTTAATAAAAAAGACTATCTATGAATTAAAATTTATACTGTTTTAAGAGAAGTTATGAAACTTTTATTTTTACTTTTTAAAAACAAAATGAGTAACTTTTTAATAAAAGTTCACTTTTAAACAAAATTATTTGAGCACATGCATAATTATTAAAATGTACAACATTTATAGCAAAAATCTGTATTAATCAGGGAAAAAAATCCTTATTTTAGTTAGTATCTTAAAAAAATACTAATGCAGTTTCAAAAGTAAAACAAAAATTTGAATTTAATTCATTCCTATCTGAATAGCATGAGTGTCAGAACTAGTTTTGTTACAATAAAACAAATCCAAAAAAAAAAAAGTTTCATGAATTGCATTAAATAACATCACCTGTACCTATAACATCACCTGTACCTTTTAACTAAAATTAAGAGTCAATTATTAATAATTTAAAATATTAAGGAGTATTTAATTCTTAAATTTGCTTTTTTTTAAAAAAAACATAATCTTTAAATTTGTGACTAAGAATCACATTAAACATTTTACAACAAGAGACAATAAAAAAACAAGCTAATAATGAAAAAGTAAAATCGACCCTTAAAAAAAATAACATTCATACATAGAACAGTGGGAAATTTCTATCAATAGCTATTATGAATGCAATTGTCGTCAGTAATTTAAATTGTACAGAATAGATGAATATAAAACATTAGTAAGCTAAAATTACTAAGTAGAAAAAATAAAATGTCATCAGGTTTTAAGGTAGTAGTTCAAATCTATTTTAGCATATATTATTCCAAAATACATCCTTTCAAATTACTAAAAATACTCTTTCTTAAAATCAGAAGAAATGAAAAAATTACAAATGAAACATTTTCGATGTAAAATGTATTTGATTAATTTATAACCACAGTACAAAATGACAAAAATATTAAACTATATACAAGTGCAAAAACTAAATGGTGCGGTGGAAATAAATACATGGAAGGACTTGTCCTTTAAGACAGTTCAAAACCTGTGTTGCAGGTAATTGCATAGCGCAACTTCTCTCGAAGTGTGCTTTTCTTTTGATAGTTAGGAAGCTTTAAGAGATTGAAACAAGTGGACGAAGTTGGTAATCGATTGACAGGATCCTTCTTTCTGATAGTAAAGAAACCTCGAAGAACACTTCCAACTGTATCCCCCGTGTCCTACAATATAAAAAAATATATCAAGATGTTAAAATCACTAAATAGACTTTGCAGGGTTCGGAATCAACGATGGTCTGTAACAGGGTTTGAAATTTCACCCATCCCTGAGGACGGCTTGCCCAACAATGTACCCGTCCTCCTTTGAAGCTAACCCGCAGTTTCTAAATAAATAAAAATATAATTTTCTCTCATTTATTGCAAACATTTATATAAATTGCACAATGAATTAGTAGTTACTAGGATTACAAATACTAAGATTACATTATACAGCAATAAAAGAAATACTAGGTTACTAATAGTAACCTAGTATTTCTTTTATGAAATAATTTCTTTATTTTATGAAATAATTTCTTTCTTTTATGAAATTACTTAAATGACAAAGGTCAAGTTATCTGCAATGCCAGTTTATCCGAGGGTACTGCGTTTTTAAATGAATCAAATATGACGTTTGCCAGTTCCACAATCAAGCCAATGATTTACAGAGGTTTCTGCACAGAAATCTGAAAGGGGTTTTCCATTTAGGTAGATGTTCATAATTGCGTTTAACGCTTCTTGTTTAAGACTACGTAATGTGTTTTTTCGTAAATTCATTGCTGAAAAGTCCCTTTCAACCGCTGCAGTACTCCCAGACAAAGAAAACATCAATTCCACCATACGCAGTATGTTGCTGCATTTCTAGATTAGCGGATCATTTTAGAAGTGAGGCGCTGGGACTCTTGTAAGATAATAAAAATTGAAAATGTATCACAAACATTAATGGGAAAATGGCCATCGGCGCTTTCAACATACAAACTTTTGTTTTTGTAGACAATATATTATATATAACAAATTTCAATTTCAAAGCCACTTACTTGATCGTCACTGACTTCTACACAACGAATGGAGAAAGCTGGTTCCAAATGGGCAAATCCCAAAAGCGGAGGTTTTGAGCAACTGGTGACAAACTGTGAATGAAATTTTTTTTAATTGCAGAGATACTTTTATTGATTAACTTATAACTTAAATGAATGCTATCAAGCAAATAATTTTTTTATATATTACTTAAAAAAAAAAAAAATTCAAAAATTGCTTATTGTAGTATTTTTTTCAACCCTCAGTATACATATTTTGTTATCAGTCTTCAATGAGTAATAGGTTAAATTTTAGACACATCATTTCAAAATAAAAATAGGCATTCTTTTTTTTAAAAAAATTTTACAATGATAGAGTTAGAGTTAGAAAAGGGCTTCACTCTGGAGGTCTAATTTTAGGTTATAAATGTAATTAAAAAAAGAAACTCTATAACACTGTTAAATAAAGCTAGTAATATCTTGCAAAGCAAAAGTGAATATTTTATTATTCTAAACCAGAAACAATGAATTTATTTTCAATGCTTGTGGAATGACAAATTCCAAAATCAAAACATTAATTTTTTAAATAAGACAAAATAATGAATTGAACTAAAATAAAAAAAAGGAAGCATATATTGCACAACAGTATAAAAGGTTAACAAGTACATTTAAGAAAAGCAGAAAAATTTTCACATTGAGTTACGCATAACTTTCATTTAATATAAATAACTTCTGCTTTATTTGAATTGATTATTAAGTCAAGTTAACGCACAAATTTTATATTCTTTTAATATGGCTCAAATTCTTAATATTAGAGATTATATGCCTTAAGTTTAATTTATATTAGGTATTCAAAAAAAAAAAAATTATTACATACATGAACATTAACTAATTGAAATTACAGTAAGACAAAATCAGAAAAAAAAATGTGAAAACACAAGGGTAGCAAATTATCTGGTCACACAATGCTTTTGTTACAGTATTTCATCTGATGAGAAAATGTTAAGAACAAGCTAAGCATAATTTTTTGACAAATTTAAATTACTGACAATTAATTCTATTAGTTGAAACTATTAAAATTGAAAAGCAGAAACATCTGATGCTTCTAAATAACTGGTAGGTATGCAATCGAATTATCACTCCAACTTTAAGATCAAGATACAGTTAGTTCTAGTGCACCAATGATTAAATGTATACATGAATTAAAGCACAGAAGTGGCTTATTTTGTAGTTTAATATAGAACTTACACATTATTTTATTGTTCAAAACAACAGACATTTAAGATAACCATCTTTATATAAGAAAAATAAACTTTAAACAAGAAAAACAGAATTAACAATCTAATTCTCATTTAATGTCACATTTTTATAATACCTTTAAAAACATTCTATGTTCTTCTTGGGTGAAGTCTTTTTCTAAAACATCCCACAGCCAATTTATAACTCTATGGTTGTTATGAAATCCTCCAAAATATTTTGTGTGTTTCCTAAAAAAAGAAAACTTGAAGTTTTATGCTGTGTTTTGAAGCTCTGTCGACAAGTAAAAAAAAAAGCAAATAGTTTAAGCGCCTTACACTTGAAGCATTGCGATGATTTGAAACTATATATAATCTTGGCGTGAAGAGTTATCTGGTCTTTAGAACAGACACATAACTTAAATATTTTAGAAGTTATAAACTTTTTAAAAAATTGCCAATTTGGCAATATTTTTCCACTTAGACAAAAATTACCAAAACTACTGCCTTATTCTCAATTTACACAAATTTTTATAAGTCCAGGTAATGCTGCATTGAAGTAAGTTCTTAAATATTAAAAAATTCGACCATAAGCGCTTTTCATTTTCACAAAACTGTGGCTTTTCTCTATATTGAAGTTTAACACCATTTTTAAAATAAGCATAGTATAAAATACTTTAGATAGACCAAACAGTCACGAGCAAATAGCATCTTTATAAAGTTATATATATATATATGTAGCGTGAAATGTTTAGTGATGAAAAAATAATCATAGAGGAAAATCTGTGAGTTCATTTTTAAAACATAGTTTACAATGATTATGAATCAATTAAAAAGTTACATTAAAAACACATATTAGGTTCAACAGACATCTATCTCTTAAAACTTTCCTAATAGTTCTGCATTAGTAGAACGATTTTCAGTTTTCCACACTGAACCAGTAAAATTTCTCAGCATATTACTTCCATTTAAAAGTAGAATTAAAACTCGAAACATTAATTTATATTTCTATATTTTTTACTTTAAGATTTTAAAAAAATTCTGCGATACTACCCAATGCTAATTTAGAGGATAAAAATTATTTATTTCCTTTCTGCTTTTTAATGAGTCAGAAAAAAAACAATATCTTAATCAACAATTAAAGTTTAGTCAACTAGGATTCAATTGCACTTCATGAAAAAAAATGAAAAGAGCATATTAAAGCAGAATTTTCATACCTCAAGTCAACAAGGTCTACAGGCGTGTTATCACCAGAGATAAGTCGTTGCAATTCTGGCGTTGAAAACATTGTCAGCCAGTCAGGATTTACTATTGAACGAAAACCCCTAATAAAGGCATTGGTTTGGTCATTGATTTGTACATGCATTCGGAAATGGGCCATAAGATGAATGTAACTGATTCTAAAAGAAGTAAAAAAAGAAAAAATTATTTCTGTAGGGCAATAAATCAATCTCATTTTAATTTAGAGAGCTATTTAAAAAAAATTAGCAAATTGGCATAATGATGGAAGAGATAAGAAAAATAACACAAATAGGTGATATCTTGGAAATACACAAATTTCTAAGTAATTGTCAGCTGTTCCTTGGAGCATTCCTTTATTCTATCAAATATGCAAACAAATCAGTTAAAATTAGAAAAACATTTCGTAAACAGCCTTCTAATATTAATATATATTTTAAAGCTGATTATTTAAAACTAACGCTGTACGTAACGGACGTACGCTGTTTGTAACGTTTTATGATTTAAGAAAACTTTCCACTATGTCGTTCAATTAAGTTCACATGCAAGAATTCTCATACAGTAATTTATAGAAAAATAATACTCTGTGGAAGGAGAGATTATAAATATTATTTCTCTGGTTTTTATTAAAAAGTAGTATGAATTATTTATAATGGTGCAATTAATTATCTTTTTTTAGGAGAGCAGAAAAAAAAGAATAAAAGTATTTTATGTAAACATGTACAGACAGATATAGTTTAGATGATTACAAAACAAATTATCACAGAAAACACTTGTAAGCATACAGAAAAAAACAAAACAAAAAAAAGAAAATTTTCAGACACACAACTGAAGATAATTATCGCAATCTACATTTTCGTTTAAATTTATAAAACAAAATTAGTTACTAATACAGTATCAGAATTATGAACAGGTTGCAGGGCTGGCAAAAGTCATGATTTTTTTAATTTATTTAAATCAGATTTTTAAAACATTTTTCAATAAAATCATCTGATAAGATGCATCCAGCATACTTAATATTATTTAAGAACAATATCATAGATAAAATGGTCAAAATTTTTTATTAAAATGGTCAAAATTATTATTTAATTATAAAAACTAATCATAGAATAAATAAAATCAGAGACATGTTTTTCAAGATTAACTTGTTAATGAATGTAAACGATTGGAAGACTATTTGCCAATTAGATATCAAATGAAGAGTAAATTAATTTAGACAAAAAAGTGCAACTGAAAAGAAAATTATATTAAGTTATTCTGTTTGATATACATGAACTAAATATTTAATAAGTTTTAAAAGCACTAAATTTAAATAAGCACAATATTAAATGGGTACAATTATAGATGATTTTAGAGAGCAAATTATTTTACATATATCTGATGGAAAACTATAATTCAAAAGTTTCAAGGCATTCTTATCCACATTTAGTATCCAGTTTATATTTCAACTTTTTTGAAATATAATAATTTAGAAACCTATCCCTTATATTTCTTATTTTTTTCATCAAATTGCATAAATTAATTATTAAAAAATGGTTTTATTTAATTGATCAGTTTTTAAAAAAATTATTTTAAATCAATGCTTTTTTTTAATGAAAAATTTAAAGGGATATGCATGTAAATATAATAATTTACATACATATCCCTTTCATTATTTCTTAGTAAAAAACCTACAATACCAGTGAAATCAGACTTTATAAAAAAATCACACTCGAAAGAGTGTATTTATTAACTATATTATACAAAAAGTAATTTTTACTTCATATTTTTTTTAGAAAAAAAATCAGCTGGTCTAAATTGATGACTCTTAAAAAAATTACAAATCATTTAAATCAATGACTTAAAAAAAATCAGGCAATTTAAATTACGATTTTAATCAGGATTTAAATCGTTTAAATCATGACAGATTGTAATTGTAATTGGTTACAATCTGATACTATGAGTTGTGATGGTTCAGGATATAGAGTGCTTGCCTCCCAATGAGGTAAACCGGATTCGAATCCCAGCGATGGCTGATTGATACTAATTCCACACCCGGCTTGCACTGACCAGAGTGCAGACGTAAAATATCTCAAGTGGTAGACAGATCATGGATTAGAGTCCCCTTTCTGCCAAACTAACGGTGGGAATTTTTCATAGTTTTCCTCACCATGTAACGCAAATGCTGATTATTTCCACCAAAAAAGTCCTCCACAAAGGCAAAATTTCTCCCACTTGATTTACTGTAGTACTAGTTAGTACTCGTTTTCTGGACTGGGTTCAAAATGACAAGGCTACAGAGGTTGAAAATTGGTAGTCGTAAACTCAATATTGGGTCGGCTGTTCAACGCTTGTTATAAATTAAAATAAAATCTGATACTACGAGGAAGGCTTAAGTTAGTTCAATATTCATACTTTTATGAAGCATGGCTAAAAAAAAGGATTTTGTCCTTTTTCTCTTATTATATTTTTATAAACATTTAAAGCTAATTAGGGATAATGATAAAAGATTTCAGAGGACACTTTCTGCCCACATGCCAGAAAGAGTACTCCTGCTTATATGCAGATTATCATAAAAAAGATAAGAGAAATCCTAAAACCGTAATTTATTGTTATTTGGAAAAGTCAATAATGTGATGAAATATATTATATTTTTATAGGTTTTGTGAAAAAAATATAACTAAAAAGGAAAGAGTAGAAAATTGAAAATATAAATTTGGGCAATTATTTATTTAAATGTGCATTACAGATTTATTATTTGCTTTTAAGTGTTCCCTTTCTTTTAAAAATCATAAAATTTTACTTACTTATTTTCACTAGTTACAGGAACTGCTTTACCACCAGGGACAAGTTCATGTGTGACTAGCTGTCCCATACAATCTTCATCGATGGAAAATGTCAAATCCAGATCATGTAGCTCTCCAGAAAAGTGCTAGATATCCAAAATATAAACTTTTACAAAATTTCTAACTAGTAGTATAGTAAAATTGTTTAAGCTAAATTTAAAATTATATAACAGCAATTGTAACAATTAAAGGAAAATTACGAAACGTTCAATAGAAAAAAAAGTGTACCTTTATGTATGTCAAACTTTTATAGAGTTCAGGATCCAATGATGGAAGCTCATCTATTGAACTGTACAAAGCACTGTGAGTATGACCTAAAACTTGACTTAGAAAAAATGATGCAAATGGTACATCCACAACAATGCCCTAAATAAAGGCAAATTATTTAATAAGAGATACAGGGTGATGCAAAGAGAAATACACAGTTTCCATGGTCCTATTAATCAAGAGCAATGTAAGTTATTATATGTTACATGCAACAGAATTATACTAAAATTTCTTACAGACAGTCACAGATGTTCTAGATGTAACTCCTTAGTCACATGACACACATTACTCCACCAGAAAAAATCACAAGCTGTTAGGTCAGAACTTCTGAGTGGCCACTGCGTTCGCGCCTCGTTAAATCCATGTGATTCATCAATCAATAAGTGAGATACATTTATCAAAGGTGATCTCACAGGTAGACCAACCAGTTTGGTTGTGTGCCATCCAATTGGGTACTTGCATTCCAAGAAGAAGACAATTTACACCCACACGTGTGACCTATAATGTCATTACCAGCTAATCTTTATCAATAAAATGGCGCATTAAAGTTGAGCTGAGATTTTCTACATAATTTAGAATGTTAATTAACATTAAGTTAACTAAATACAGAACCGTATCGCACATTGAATTTGTTGAAATATAATTCTTTCTTTCCTATTAGTTTATGTATTTTATTGCAACCGTGATATATTTTTGTTACTTCGATGCATAATAAGTTAGTTTCTACATAGCTTCGTGCCTGTCTTTGTGTAAATATATAGTGAAAGAATTTAAATCTTTGTGAAAGAATATAGTCTGTGTTACTTAAGAGAATTGGTACTAGACAGGGTAGGTTTACACAAAATAGAATGGAAAGAAGAGTTGATAATGTAAACAATTGCCATGTTTCAGCAACCAATCAGGATTGAGATACCCACGCTACGTCACTTGCTGGTATCCCATTAGAGAATGAGTTGTCATGTTGTTCAGCAACTGTGGTATCAGCCAAAAATTTAACATAAGTGAAAAAGTGGCTCCTGTGACAGTTTGCTCTTGTACTGAAACATCTGTTAGGGTGAAAATGGATTTCTGACTAGATGTGTGTCATGTGATTAAGGGGTCATATAAAGAACATTAGGCCGACTGACCTGTGAAGGGGCAGTGAACTGTCCTTGCATCAGAAAGGTTCTGGATTCGAATCCCGGGCAAGGCATGGATGTTCTTTCCTTCTCTGTACTATTTGTCCTCACTGTGGGGGCGACGTTGGCCCACCTAATATGGTGCCTATGATGAAGGATAAGCCAAGGGTGCCAATTTATCGAGAAGATGAGGAATCAGAGTGCCCATTTTATATTGGTGATGATGGTGGGCAGCTGAGGTTGGAGGGTGTATTCGTATAGTGGGCCAGTTGAAGAATACATGATGGCAAATTGAAGATTGCGATGAAAACAGAAGGGTGATGAAAATAATAGTTGAGCCGGATTAGAATTAATAAAAAGGCTTTTATTTTATTATATTTGCAGAGCTCGAGTTACAAAATATCATTCATAAGAATTTCAGTTTAATAAGTTTTGCATAGTAATATCTATTAAAATAGGTCAGGCCATGGGAGACAAATCCCCCCGACCTGCCTAATCAAAAGCCAAATTAAAAAGTACATGTAAATTGTNTGTGACCTATAATGTCATTACCAGCTAATCTTTATCAGTAAAATGGCGCATTAAAGTTGAGCTGAGATTCTCTACATAACTTAGAACGTTAATTAACATTAAGTTAATTAAATACAGAACCGTATCGCACATTGAATTTGTTGAAATATAATTCTTTCTTTCCTATTTGTTTATATATTTTATTGCAACCGTGATATATTTTTGTTTTGCGCAACTGGCAACTTCGATGCATAATAAGTTTATTTTCTATATAGCTTCGTGCCTGTCTTTGTGCAAATATATAGTGAAAGAATATAGGCTGTGCTACTTAAGAGAATTGGTACTTGACAGGCTAGGTTTATTCAAAATAGAATGGAAAGAAGAGTTGCTAATGTAAACAATTGCCACGTTTCAGCAACCAATCAGGATTGAGATACCCACACTACGTCACTTGCAGGTATCCCATTAGAGAAGGAAGTTGTCATGTTGTTCAGCAACTGTGGTATCAGTATAAAATTTAATATAAATGAAAAAGTGGCTCCTGTGACAGTTTGCTCTTGTACTTGAACACTTCTATGGGTGAAAATGGATTTCTGGCCCGATGTGTGTTGTGTGACTAAAGGGGTCATATAACATTTCAGGCTGTTTCTAACAAAAATTAAAATAATCCCATACAATTCTGTTGCATGTATCATACAATATTTTACACTGATTTATAGTGCATTGAAACAGCATACTTCTTTATGAATTACTCTAATTAGACAACAAAGAAAACAATGTTTAATAGATTTTAGAGAACAGTTAATTTTGCAAACCTTTTCAGGGTGCGTAGCCAAATTTTTCAACAAAAAATAAGCACTTTTCAAGTACTTTAAAAATAATTAGGCAGGGTTGGCAAGTTTTCGACAATTGACGGTTTTATCCGGATATAACCGTCATGTCAAAAACACTTTAGTTTTGTTAGTTTTGCAGGCATAGTTTTTGACAATTGTCAGAAATCTGGAAATTTTGAATCATGAAACGAATGGCGCTTTCATACGCTAAGGAAGACGGTAAGCTGAAATAGATTGGGGTTGATGGCGTTTTCACACACTAAGGATTGACAGTACGCCGAAATAGATTGGGGTTGCATTAATTGTGAAAACATTGAATAGAATACAGTGGAAAGTCGCGTATCCGGAATAGGCGGAACTTCCCGAAGTCCGTATATATGATTTTTCCGTATAATTGACCTCCAAGGTAAACAAAGCTTAAAATGATCTGAATCTAAGAAGCAGAAAATAAATAAACATTATTTTTCGGGCAATAATGTTTTAGTATTAGAGTGATATCTAATCAATCATAAACAAAATATTACAAAAAAAATAATTATTGCTATTCTAAAAATAAATATAGAAAACGAAAAAAATTCACAGTTATGAAAATATTAATTGCTCTCTCCGCCCTTTTGGACTAGAACGATTCAAGCAAGAAGGGAAAATTCCCGTCATTCAATAAGGTGGGTAGGCGGAGAAGAAAAATTCATTTCCTCCTTACTTGTCATTCAAGTTGAGGGCGGGGTAGTGACAAATTCTTATTTTCTCTCCCATCATTGGCTATCAATCAAGCATAAAGGCGTGGCATGCTGATTGGGTTCTCTTTATTTTTTCTTGTGTGACTAAAGGGGATTCCCCCTCCACTTTAACATTTGCTGTGTTTACCCTATTTCACAGTATTTCTTCTTCCCCTGACACTCAAATGAAAAGGTTCCAGGAAATGCCTCGTTTACTAGCCAGCTGCATAGGAAAGAAGGGGGAGGGAGGGGACTCAGTTGTGCTCTTTTGAAAACAAATCTCCCCCCCCTTTCCTGCGTTCCAGAGGAGGAGCATCATGGTCTTAGTAGATCTTCTGTTCTCTTTTCTGTTGAATTATGGGTTCAATGCATAGATCTCTAGAAGCTAAGAGGGGAAAAACCTGTCAAAAGACTTCGTTTTTTTTTATTATTTTTTTTAAAGGAGAGGGGAAGATGAAGAAATTTTTGTTTATTTTGATTGTTAAAAAGTGTCCGGGAAATCGACCCTTCCGGAAAAGGGACGTCCGGATATGGGACGTTACACTGTAATATGAACAGTGTCTGTTTGCATAACAGGGTAAATAGAATATTAACCACTTTTTAAAAATACCCAACGAAAAAAGCACCTTAAAGGGCTTTTAAAAAAAGATAATCAAAAATAAGCACCTTTAAGCACTTTTTAAAAATGCTGTGCACCCTGCCTTTACTAATAAATATAAAAACTAACAAATGTAGTAAATTTTTTAATTTTTCGCAAAGTGTTTTTTACTTAGAAAAACACACAAACAAATTGTTTTAGTGAATCATCTCAAAAAATATTATACAGCTGTATGAATAACTTTAAAAAATCTGATTATATGCATGAAAAAAAAAGAATTTTAAATTATTAGCTGTAGAAGTCTGAAAGTTAGATATACAGATCATGCTTATAATCCTTTAAAATAAAAGTAAACTTACTTCATATACAGCTTTGCCCAACATTTTCCCAACAAATTCAAAAAGTGAGAGATGATTTTCATGAATATATGAGGTGGGTGAAGGAAAAAGTCTTTCTTCACTTGTAGCCTACATAAGAACATAAAATTATATCAAGTTTGAATTTTGGTACAGTTTGTTGCAGTTTTTAAATTATGTTTTTTTTTCTTTTTTAGCTTTTAGACCATTTTAAAATATATAATCAAATTAATTTCAGTAAATGCATTAAAATAAAAATATCACAAAATGCATGTAAGATATTATTTCCTTTTTGGAAAAAAAAACTATGAGAGTGATATTCACATATTAGCAACCTTAGCATCTGGGCAATAGTGCAGAATTATTTTGAATTAAAAATATAATGCACTTTTATAAAAAAAAATACTATGTATAATTGAGATAAACATTTCCAAACTGATTAGTTGAAATAATTCTTAATAAAATCATTTATTCATAAATGCATATTAAGGGAATAAATAGATTCCAATACGAATAAGTTAAATTTCCAGTAAATTTATCATCAAAAAATTAATTTTAAATGAGATTGAAATTTAATTTCAGCTTTTGTATATTTAAAGATAAAAGAAAACCAGTCAAGTTATAAATCAGAGTTAAATTAAATGAATATTTCTAGATATATAATATAGCAAGATCAAAATTCTTGTACTAGTTAATTGTGACAAAGATAAAAAGTTACATTAATTTATCTTCAGCTACCAATTAATTTTAGTCATTAACATGTAAGAGAATGGCTCTAAAATGTTAAACCTTTAGAATAAATGAATAAAAAAATACTTAAAATTTTCTCACACGAAATAAATTAAGCGAAGGGTCAAAGACTTTCTTTATAGTTTCTTCTAAGAACTCTTTAAAAACACCATCTTGATCAATGCCAGCTTCATCCAAGCCCTACAAAGAATGTTATTTTATAACTTTAAAAATAAAAAGATTTGAAAAATTTGCCATAGAAATAAGAGTACTTTTTATTCTTCCATTAAGCACCACAGTTGTAGATACTTCGAATCTCGATTGTGCGAGTTTCTCATAAATCCAAGCAAGTGAAAAAAAAAATATCAGTCTTGCCCCCAAATAATGATCAACACACACACAACACTTGAAACAATTACTATGATTGGTTTAACAGCGATTATTTTGACTAAATGTTGAGAAACGATTATTACAACTAAATGTTGTTTGATTTGGGCATTAATCACTGAAATATGTGAACAGTGAGTTTAAATAAAAAACAATAGACAATAATTTTAAAGTACAATTGACGTGATGTAATAATATAATGAATATTGTAACTTGGTGCAATGCAGCATCTGATGTAAGTAAATTTTCCTTAAATAAGTTTTTCAATTAAATACTGAATTTTAAAAGTTGCGTTGTTTCCATTTATTTAAATGTTAATTATATTTTAAGTTTCAGATAATTCAAGTTTATAAAAGTTCGAGGTAGGCTCAGTTCTGTCCACCAAGAATTATCGAGACTCTACTGAAAGAATGAACAACATTCACAAATTAGCAAAGTTATTAAAACATATGCCAAGAGCATGTACAGAGTGTAAGAATAAAAATGGAATAGCAAAATTACTTTCGATCAAATAATGAACTGTCACAAACAAAGAGGCAATTTTAATGGCAGGAAGGCAAATATGCTAAAACTAAGTAATGCAGAAGATACTTTAGTTACAAAATCAGACATAGAAACAAAATTTCCTTAGATAAACAAATTTTTTTACCACATTCAGATTTTTTATCCTAACAATATTGGAGGTATATATGATTTGGAAAATATGTTCCCAATTATTTATTCAAGAGAGCAGTGGAAAGTTTATGCCCTTAATGTTAATTTAATTTTCGGGTAATCTGCTAAAAAAATTCAATTACCTAAGCAAAACAAACAATTTTTGGATGCTTAGTCATGAATTATTCCAGGTAAAAACATTTTCTTCAGATTTTTTACTATTATCACTTAATTTAATGCCGTTCAAAAAATATTTGTATTATAAAGTCCTGGATTCTTTAAATCATTTCAAACTGTGCAATTTTAAACGACAAAATACAGAATTCAAATTAAATTGATTGAAGTGTTTTAGTGAAATGAAAATTTAAAAATATATTTTTCAAAATTTCACTATTCAGAAGCTATGAAAAACTAGCAAAAACAACTATTCAAAATATTCATAAATTAGCAAAGAGGTTAAATTAGGTAATATTAAGGGACCCCTCCCGTGGTTGCAATTATACAAGGAACATCTGTTTTGGTAAATATGCACTTATCATCTGGATATTCTGATATTTTCAATCACGATAAGTACAGTTGATATAAAATCATACAATTCAAGATCTGTGTGGATGGAGGCTTATTGAAAGAAAAAAATGGGGGGAAATTTGTAAAGTAGTTGAATTACACCATCTGCATGTTTCACTTTTTGTTGCATGCGAAAAATTTACATAGAAATTATCAAAAAAAAAAAATGACCCAATGATGCATCCAACAGCACTATTTATAACTAACACCAGTTTAGTTGACCACAACAAACATTTTGGCATGACAATTAAAAAAAAACATTCCAAAAGTTAAAAAAAATTATCCCAGATATGAAAAATAACGCAAAAAATTTACATACTTGTTCATTTATAAATTTTACTCGAATAACACCTTTTAAAGATTGAGAAGGTAGCATTGACAACTGCTGATATCCATCCTACATAAAAAAAGAAATATCATACATAAATCAAAATATTAAAATTTTTCATTTATTAAAAAAAATGGTTCAAAGAATGATGATACAGTTTATGCTTAATTCAGCTATTCTAATAACAAAAATGTGATAAAATGTGAGGCACATTCATAATGTTAAATTTATAAATGCCTCAAATTAACCAAGGTCATTTTATTCGAATATAAAAATTCCAAAAAAATTTTATATTAATTACTTTATTAAAAAAATATACAATTTTTGCACCACCTGTAACCCAAAAGTTTTCAATTTTAACTATATTAGTTGGAGTTTTAAGCACACCTTAAAATGTCTGCAAAATCTAAAATAAAAATAATAAACGAGACATTAAATATTCTCAAATGATTTTTGACTCGAAAATGTATTAAATAAAAAAGACTTTTTTTCATTAAACATAAGTTCAAATATTTACCTCGACAATTCGTGACCTATGAACAGTAATCAAGGTACTTTGTGGTGATGCACAAGCAGATTCTGTGAGACCCAGCACTTCTTTTTCATTGTTTACATATTTTCTAAACAAGACGACTCTCTAAAAAATACATTTTCTAAATTATAGCAGAGGTACAATTGTATGAATATTAATAGAATAATTTAATGTTAAAAATAATATGCATTAAGCATAAGTAATAAAATAAACTTAATACTGAATCAACTTAGTACTAAGGTTTTATAGCAAATTTGATCTGATTTAAACTGTATCACATATTTGTGAAAGTATATTAAAAACACTCATATTAAAAGCTTAATTTTGAATAACCTGATGTGATTTTGCTTATTATGAATAATCTATAATAACCTGACTCATCTTATTGTAATTTCAAACTTGTAGTACACCATGGAATGATACATTAAATACTGCATTGATAGTAGTTATAAATTTTTTATTTTTGAGCTGCAAACTTTACATTGTTTTAAATTTTAAAATTGATTTAACTATATTTAATTGTGAACAAGAAAATAAGCAAAGTAAATACAATAATAAAATAGACTGTTTCAAATGTAATTGCTGTACACATTAACTCATCTGAAAATTAAAAAAATAAAGGTTCTTTGAAAGACAAAATATTAGATACAAGCCAAAAACTAAAAAGAATGTACAAGAATATTATCAGGAAAACAAAAAGAAAAATAATTTATAAGTTTGGAAAAAAATATACGGTTAAATAAAATATACATTGTAACAATAAAATTGAAGGCTAAAAATTATGAAATGGAAACATGCCTTACTTTAAAACTAATATAAAAACAGAAGTTGCAATTAAAAAATGAAATTACCTCTTTATGAGGAATGATGTGAGGTACTTTTTGCATTAATACTTGTGCAGCTTTTTTTCCCTTTTCCAGATCATTCATAAAAGAACTGACTCTAATATCTCTAAAATATTCAAATTAAAACTAAATTAATATTAGCTTAAAACATTGTAATGAATCCAGCTATACTGAAGAGACCGTTTTTCAAATATTTTTTATAAAAACACATTCATTGACACAACATCCACACATCAATAAAGCAAAAATAAATTGAGATATCTATATTGGGTTAGTATAAACTTTGGGGTAGACTATATTTGAGGGTGCCCCCGCCAAGTTGTGATCGCGATTGATCGCCAAGCTGGGCGATGCTGAGAACCAATCGTGATTCTGATTGGTTTAGATTTTAATCGTGATTCTGATTGGTTCAGAATTTAGCGTTGTTTTTAAATGAATTTTTAAATGCAATTTCAGAGATCCGTTAATTCTGCTTTGGATACCGGCTGGTAAGGTTACTTTTGCTTCTGGTACTTAAAAATGAATACTGTCAATAAGATGAATCTTAAGTTTCTGTACGATTTGAATAACAATGAATAAAAAGCAGTGATTGACTGGTGTATGAATGAAGGTTTAATTAGTAATAGATATAAATGTCCTGTTTGTGGGTTGCCACGGCGTTCCGGGCAAACAAGTATGGCGCCAAACATAAGTCGCCAATTTCATCAAGGGGCACCCTCAAGTATATTTTTCCCTAAACTTTGCAACAAAAAAAAAATTGAAACTCCAATAAAGGATTAGTGTAAACCTTAAATACAAACAAAAATTATTCCCAACAAAAATCTAACTCTCCAAAACTAATCAAAAGACAATTCTAAAAAATTAGAAGGAAACAATGCCAAAAATTGCCTCATTCTTTTATTTTTTTCTTCCTGATCATCCTTTTTTTATTCATGCTTGTGTTAGCCAGATATTTTGTAGACTCCATATCATGAATGTGTAGAAGTAAAGGAAGATAATGGAATTAAAAGCTATATTGAGCTATCCTAATTCACTCAGAAATGAAGTAAGTATAATAATGCATGGTACACATTTTGAGAAAATTTATAAAAAGTGATAATATATTTTATAAATTTACATAATTAATAGGGTGTGGGCACATAAAAATTAAGAATAATAATCAAACACTTCAACCCATAAGAATATTCTTGATATTATTCAGTTAAATGTAAACTATATTTTCATCATTTAAACGAAAAAGGGTAACAAAGATTTCACAGTATTTTAATACAATTTCAATAGAAAAGATGCAAAAAAATTCATTTAGAGGGGAAAAAACTGATATAACATACTTTATAAGCCAATGATCAGCTGGAGTATAAGGGTGCCTGCAGTCTCTTTTATAAAGAAGCATTAATAGTGTGTGGGCTGAATTCAGCAAGGCATTGCTTTTCACAGCTTTTGAATCTACAATAAGAATGAAAAGCAACATATATTTTGTGATTTAACAGTGTGTGACATAAACTTTAGTGACAAAACTTAATATACATACCAATCAGATTGTTCCAAATAAGTTTAAACACAAGTTGATTAAGAAAAGATGATATTGATACTAAATCTTCCAGGCAAAAAGGCTTCTGTTGTTCATAGAGTTCAACATCATCTAAAATCCTATAATAAATGGAAAACATTTAAAACCGAATAAGTATAAATAAATAATAGAACATTGCTGCATGGAATTTTGACAGTAGCTTATTACAGGCCAAATAGCAGAATTCACGTGAACAACAAAGATATATTTTTGTTTCGCATACAAAAATTGAAGCGGTCAATGTTAAAAGGAGGGCATGTTACAAATCAGCACTTTTGAGGGGAAAAAAACTAGTATGTCAACTGTGGCAAAATTGTTTTAATTGCTTCTAAATTGTTGGATTCTCTTCTTTAGTCAGTCTAGAAAATTGCTCTGTATTTTCTGGACTCAGTTAATCAACAAAAATACTTATTTTTGTAAAAATGTTACATATCCCCTTTTAACATTTACATCAATCATGACTAATTAACGTTTTAGAGTAATAAATAACAGAAAGTGTAGTAAATTGCATGGAAACATGTGTGAGCTGAATAGTTATATAAAACATTTACACAAAATGACATACAAAATTTGTAGAAACAAGAGGTTATTACGTTATGAGGTGGGTTGCACAATCACAAAATAAGACCAATATCTGGAATTCCGGACTGCAGGTTTTTGTTGTGACAGCAAGATGATCTAGAAAAGCTTTTAGGCCATTTCCAGTTCCAAGACTGCATATGAACTTCCACAAGTGTGGTAGCACCATGTCTTGATAACAGAGACCTATGATGGCAGACAAAGATGCTATTAACAATTGTTTCAAATAATTTTCTTCCCTTTAAAACCTAAACAATATTTAAAAAATTAAGGAAAGCTAAACAAAATATTAAGGAAATGCTTTTCATACCAGTAAGAATGTCTAATTTCATCTGACTTAAGGTAGCAAGAGCAGTCTCATAGAGATTACATGTAAGTGCTACTAATGTGGTTTCAGGACTACCTAGTCTTTTGAATCTCACATTGCTTGTGCGACTAGATGATGCTTTTTCTAAGGCCTTCTTGAAAATATCTAGCAAAATTATATTAGTGTTTAATAAAATCAGAATACCAATATTCATAATAAACATTATATATTAGATAATATGCAATTCTTAAAGTACACACAATTGTTACTTATATTTTTAAATAAAACCTATTTAATTCACTATTATTCGAAAAAAAATATTTCTAACAAGCATAATTTAAAACAGCATAATTAGAAACATAATTTAAACTAACTTATTTTTTTTTAAAAAATTGCTTAATTAAATAAAATGATTCTTTTCAATGAAATTATCAATTTAAAAATTTGCAAAGCAATTTAATCTAAGATTACTTTTATTGATATTCAAAGTCTAAAAATATATTAAAATATTTTGCTAATTTATTAAGTTTAAATTTAGCAAAATACATTAGTACTCCATGCCTAATAAATTACAGCACTTTTGAAATGATAATTTAAAAATCTTAAAACTCTTTGGATTTTAGAGTATGCAAAGAAAAATGAGAAAACTTAATGTAGTTATTAAATATGGTTTAAGTTTAAAAAAAAAGAATCCATAATATAATTTTGAGCTTTTTTTCAATTATCAATAATGATACATTTTGATTTCATTTTCAAATAAATTGGAACAGGTCTACTTCCGTATACACAATTTCTTCATTATACATTGGACAATGTCATTTTTATTCTTCACATAGTTTATGTGACTAGATGAGGTCTTTACTTTCTTGAAATTATTTCACAAAGTTATATTAGCAAGACATATGAACAACAAAATGGATTGTCTCATTGTTATTTAAAAAGTTTTCATACAAGTTTTTACTCTTTAGTGTTGACAAGAATCAAAAAAATTACAGAGGATATTTTTTGATTCAACATTTTTCCTAAAGAAAACGACATAAATAAAATGATAATGATACATGCATAATGATGCTGCTAATTTTATATATGAACAGAAAAAAAAGGAATGCTGTGATGTATTTTAAAACAAGATGGTTGCTGGCTCACTATTCATCATATAAAAAGAAAAAGTATGCTTAGAATTGACCCAAAACTGACTCGTAGAGATGTATAGTTTATTTATTGAAGATCAGAAGGAGTGAACAGAAACTATACATACATGCAGAACTTGAAAATATTCAAGATGAGCAATATGGAGATGGATGAACAATATGGCAAATTAAAATGAACAATATGGCTATATATAAGATAATCTATGTAAATAAAGCAAAATTTGGTGAGCAAAGACAGATTGATGCTGTTAAGTCATGGAATGTTACAACAGGCGTACAAATAAGATACTTATGGAATAAATGGTATAAATTACTTGTTTTGAAAGGTGAATTTTGAACAGGTGAAGTAGCAGGATTATTTGCGGTGGGGCTAGATGGTTGAGGTGCATTTGTGACAGAGTCTACCAGGTGAGAAAACATGGCTTTTATCATTGGTCCACTCCACAGGAGTTGAATTTGCTTCTTAACAAGTGAAAGGGAATCATGGAGCCTAGAAGAAACCATAAATAATAATATATATATGTTTAAAACAAAAGATATGTTTCATTTGAAGTTTAATAGAGAATTAACATATATTAGCATTAATTTAATCTTTTCAGTGATGATATCTAGAGTTGAGCTCACTTATAATGAGCGTGAAAGGAATGTATTATTTGTTTGTCATAACCGAGTGCACCTAAAAAACTGGTTAGTGAAAAAATTCGCAAAAGTTCAAACATATATAAATAAATTACCTACTTCATTTATTTCTGTACAAAACAAAAGGAGCTAATTAATTTGCTTTAAATTATTTTAATGTAGTAACTTATACTATTGGTAAAACAAAATCTAATTTTCACATACAAATACCTCAGAAAGTTGTGAACTATTTTTGGTAATTTCTTTTATCTCTGCTGTCTAATAAAATAAAACTTATAAAGGTAGATAACAATAACACAAAACATACTGATACACTAGAGCCAGAAATCTTCATTTTCCTAATGGTGTTAATTTAGCAGGGGGAAAAATGTAACAAAAATTCTTTAAGTAGAAAAATGTACCACAATGAACATCCAGTTATTTAAAAAGTCATTATTTCTAAATATAGAGCTATGAATTTCTAAATAATTATACTAAATATAGTAACTTATACTAACCCATGATCTACTTTTTGAGCAAACCAGCCTAACACTGGATGCCAGTGAGTTAAGTTTGACTGCTTGTTTACAACATATTTTTGACAGCTCTCTAATATTTTAGTGATCACATTCTGGAACATAAATATAACATAACTTACAAGCAGCTTCAGAACATTTATAAATTTACAATTTTAAAATATAACTTAAAAACTATTTTCATGAACATGAAAAATACTTACAATGAAATCTAACAAATTGGACTGAAGGCACTAAATTTTAAAATAAAACAGTTTTAGTAGCAATAAATAATAAAAGTATAATACTAAATATAAATTAAGTAAATTTGTACTTACTTCAATGTCAGAGTGACCTAAATGTATCAAATTAGCTGAAAGATAAGAAAATAACTATTAAAACATTTATTATTATTAATCAACAATTAAAAGTAAACTATTAATTTCTTATTCAGCCAACTCAAGCTTAAAATGAATGGGAAAATAAAAGTTTGACAGTTAATGAGTTTAAAGATGACATTATTTTGAAAAAAAAAAAGTTAATACCATTTCTATCACTAATGCAATTCAAAATAGTAATGCAATAATGCTATGAAATTAACAAATAGTAACAAACTTTGTAATATTGGTCCTTTGCTCTCTTTGGCATAGCAAATTTTAAAGATGAAAACAATGAAAATTATGAAGAAAAAAATGAAAAATATAATAATGACAATCGAAACAATGAAAAAATAATGAAAAATATAATAATGACAATCGAAACAATGAAAAAAAAATGAAAAATATAATAATGACAATTAAAGCTGACATCGTCAGGGGGAACCAGCTCCAGAAGTCATAAAAATACAAAATCTTTTCTTTTTCCTTGATTTTTGATTTTGCTTTTAATTACTCTCTTTGCTATCTCACAGATAAAACTAGTTTTATCTCCCTATAATGTTAATTAAACAAATATTCCTAGAAAAGGACACTTCAAAAATTAATTTAAATAGTTCAACTTTTTAAGTGTTAAAGAAAGTATCTTAATGTTTGACTGTAAAATTAACAGTGTTTTAAATTTTTTAATAAAAATAAACTGTCAATTCTAATAAGGAATTAAATATAACTTACATATTCCTTTTAAAAAATTTATCAAATTTATTGAATTTTAGGCGTTTGAAATTTTCTTTAATTATAAATCAGACTTACATAATAATTATATAATTTTAAGTATCTAGTACATAAAAAATATATGTAAAAAAAAGGAATTTCTAAACATTTTAGCTCATTTAAGCAAACCAGATTTAGATATGTTTTAAATGTGGGTTTCTTTTTTAGTATTTACATGTTATAAGATTCCTGCTAAAATTTCACTAAATAAATATTTAACTTAATATTTACCTATAAGACAAAGTGCATAATTTCCCTCTAGAGCATTAAACAAAATTCTGGTATTTTGCTCAGATACCAGTAAGTCAATAGCATGTTTGAAAATGTTGTTGCTAGAAAAAATACCTAAACACTGCAAGTAAATAAAAAAAAAAGTTGTCATATTTATATAATATCATATTTACTTATTGATAAAATTTTTTAGATGAACAATAAATAGTAGCTGTTCCAAAAACAATAAAATAACAAAAATAACTTGTAAAAATTTAAAAAAATATATAGTCAAACCTTCATATCACTTAAAAAAACATACAGTCAAACCTTCATATCATTTAAAAAAACATTCAACCAAACCTTCATATCTCTTAAAAATTTAAAAAATAAAAACATACTGTCTAATCCTCACATCACAAGTTTGAACATGAAGAGTGCTTTGATATCACAAAATAATAATAATCTGAATTCTGTACATATTGGCTTTCTCATTACTGGACAATTTTTTTAGTTAAGACAACCAAAATTTAAAAAAAAAAACATATAGTTAAACCCTCATATCACTTAAAATTTAAAAACAAAAACACTCAAACCTTTAGATTACTTAAAAAAACATACAATCAAAGCATCATATCACTTAAAAATTTAATTAAAAAAAAACAGTCAAACTTTCAAAACACAAGTTCCAACATGAAGAATGCTTTGATATCACAAAATAATAACAATCTGAATTCTGTATGTATCGACTTCTCCAATACTGGAATACTTTTTCAGCTACACATTCGCACTAAAACTTAAAGAAATAAATAAGGTTCAACAGATTTATAAAAGTAAATTTTTTCAGACGTGTTTAGGTAACACACTAAACTAATAAAAGGGCTGTAAAATGTAAGGGTTTTTCAAACTACACAAGTATCAATGGAATCTTAACTAGAATTTTTCCTAGAACCATAGATCACAAATAAAAATACAGTCTACGTCTGGTAAAAAAAATAATAATAATAAATAAATAAAATAAAATATTGCCAATTTAACCTAAATGTCTTTAAAAAAAATCACTGCACAACATAATGTTAAAAATTATGTAGCGTTGAAGAAATTTTATATACTAGCAATACACATATATCTGCAAGAAAAACATAGCAGCAGAAGTTACATAATTGTTAACATACCTCAGGTGCAGAGTTATGAAAATGTAAAACAAGAGCAGGAACAGACACAATATGAAGGAGGAATAAATTTAGTAGGTTATTTGAGTATTGAGATGATGCTAAAGGCCTACAACAACAACAATAAAAACGACAATTCAGACACACATATTAAAAGAAAAATACATTTTCTGAATAAAAATACAATTTTTGTACAGTAAATCAATGTGTAAATTTTTGGTAATTGAAATTAACTGTGATATTTTCTGTACCTTAAGAAGAAAAAGTCTTCAGGTGCAGAAAATATCTAGATATATATTAAAAGAAGATAAATACTTTTACTTGTAAAATGAAAAGAATAACAAGATTCATCAAAAAGCTCAAATACAGTGACACTTTGGTGACTCGAAGCAGTATTAAATGTCTAAATTTTTATTTATTGATTATTGATGATTTATTGATTATTTGTCTTTACAAGAATAGACAAATCCAATATCAAATATCCTCTTGTATTTTCTTTTTTTTACAAAAGCAGGTATTGTTAAGGCAAAATACAAACTTAAGAGTTAAGTTAGAGAAAATAAAGGAGACAAAGTTAAGTTTGAGAGTTAAAAAAAAAGTTAGAAGAAAAATCCTGATAAAATTATAAAAAGTATTTAAATATAGAAATTAACTAAAGAAAAATTTGAAAAATTTTACTCACAGATGAAATTTAACATTTTGTAAAGGAAAATTTCTTAAAATAATTGATAAAAAATTAATTTTTATGAAATTATTGATAAAAATTTAATTGAAATCTTAAGATTGCAGAGTGTATTTTATTTTGTCGCTTAAATATATTGAGTTTACATAAAATATTTTACAGACATCAGTTAAAATAAAACTTCAGTGACTAAAAAAAAAATTAAAAAAAATTCATAATTTGAGTATTATAATTCTTGTATCTGTAAGAGAGTATCAATTTGTAAAAAGTAAAACAAGGCAGCAGAAATTTTCATTTTCACATAAATGTGAATTCATGAAAACAAAGTATCACTTTACAATCAAAATAATTACTTAATACACAGAAAGTCATATTCTTACCGAGTTGATATATTAGTGATAGCTAAAAGAGTAGCTCGCTTTAAACATGGTTTTACTCGAACTAAACCTCTCAGCAAAACAGTTTGAAGTATACTATAAAGCCCTTTAGAAACTAAAAAGCCCATAATGTTAGCACATAGTTGGTTCATTGCAGGTTTTAATGCTTCTCCTAAATTAAAAATATAATAGAAAAGTAAGAAAAATGCTGCACAAGTAGTTTAAAATATTCATATAACAATGGAAAAAAATAATGATTTAAATAAATAGTTAAGCATATATGTAGCTAAATATATGCCTGATGTCTATATTAACTTCTTAAATAAGACTGTATCATAAACCTTTAATAATAAGTACAATTAATAATTTTTGTAACACATAATTGCTTAAATTAAGAGGAAAAAACAAGACTAAAAAGATCAATCACAAGTTAATTTTGATATTAAAATTTGATAATAAACATTAAGTCTAGAAAAATAAAATAAAAATTTACTAATTATACTCCCAGATGGATTTGTATCTTAATAATTATTTTTTTTGCAAAACCTAGGTAATATGTTTATTTATTTATTGAGTTATTTTTTGAAATTAAGATAAAAATTGAAATATTTTTTAAGCTATTTTAAAATAACTATTCTCAAATACATAATTTAAAGGAAGGAATCAAATTACTATACTAATACAAACTACTCAAACATTTTTTCTTTATTGAATAAAACTGAAAAAAAAAAATTATAAGACGAACTATTTAAATTTTTTTTCAAACATGAAAATTTAAAACAAATACCTTGTTTATTATTGAGTACTTTCCACGTTCCAATGCTGGTAAATGAAACAAGCATATGAAGGAACAACATCATGGCTTTTGCATCTTGAGACCATTCAGGCTAAAATACATAAACAAAATATAAATAAATCACATAACTGAAGTTGTATACTTCAATTTCATTTTATGAAAAAAGTTATAGAGAACAAAGAGTTTTTTCGGTCATTTTTTTTATTGAGTTACCAATCAAATCTAGCAACAAAACTATAAATAGTTATATCATTACTTTTGCAACAGATATATATTTTCATTGATGAAGACTGAAGTAACATGAATATTTAAAAATAGGAAAAGAATAAAATATACAGCTTAATTTGAGATTTGTAATCATTTCATTTATAATGAAATACTTTGATATAAAATAGAGATGTAAGTTCAGCGAAGAATGACAACATCAAAATTTTAAGATATAATTTTGTTCACAAAATTCGAAACCTCGTGCAAAAATAAATACTTATAAATCAAAGGAATAATTTAAATGATATTTGAGTCTTCAATAACATGTTTTTATTTCTATTTTTGCACACTTACTTAATCCTTGACTCTACAGGCCATGAAGGACTTTGGCCTCCTTTATCACACAACTCCACTTTTGTGTCCTTGGCCTTTATCCTCCAATTTTTGATTTTAAATTTTTTTAGACCTCTTTCCACCTCCTCAAGCCATCGTTTTCTAGGGTGTCCGATCTTTCTATTTCCCTCTCGTTTTCCTTTATAAAGTTTCTTTGTTGCTCTTTCCTCACCCATTCGTTCCAGATGTCGGAGCCATTGTATTCTTTTTGCTTTTATTAAATTTACTATATCTTTTCTTAATATACAGTACAGAACCCGTTATCCGGAATTCAGAAAGCCGGAAAACCAAAAAACCGGAATGAAATTCAATAAATTTTCCTGCTATTTTCAAAAAAATATTTTTTTCCTCATAAGATTTTAGGATTTTTCTTTCTTTTTTGAAACATGTTTACCTTACCATCATTTTGGAAATAATCATTAGTGTATTACTTCATCATTTGTTCTTCTTTTTAAGATTTCCAAATTTTTTTTTTTTAGTTGTGTTTAACAATAAAAAACAACGGCTTTTTATAGCGATTCAAAAAGCCGGAAAAATCAGTTATCCGGAATAGCGATGGTCCCAATCGATTCCCTACTGTAGTTTACTTAACTCTAAATAAATTAATCCTAATTCTCCAAAAACCTCCATCTTTTTTTACACACTACATTAATATATTTTGTTTAACGTAACATCATCTAATGATTATCAGTTGCATTTTGATGGTACTGTGCTGTATCATGAAGAAATAGAAAAGCATATGATGAGAATCGAAGCAGTAATTTTATCTAACATTTATTCTGATAATATTAATTTTATTCAAGAATTTGAAACTTTGAGTTGAAACTTGATCCCTAATAGATAATTGCTTATCAAATTCCTGATATGATTATTACAAAACAAGAATATATTAAATTTTCTGTTATTATACAAAAATAATTTTAAAACATGAACAATATTTTACCTTTAAAGATTTCAGGTATACACAACATTGCCATAATACAATTTTTATGTGATGAATCCATCCAACTGCCAGATCCTTGTTGAAAGCAACAGCAATATAGCTTTTCTGCAAATAAATAATACTATAAATAGATATGGATATTTAAGAATATTTTGAACATAATTATCTAATACATCTAATCACTTAAAAGTTTTTTTCACCTAAGACATCAGAATGTCATTCGCAAAATATACATGATGCATTCTATATAAAATTCAGACAAGTTCAGAAAGATTAAAAAATAAACCAAAACCTAAGTGTTTTAAAGAAAGCATTAAGGCAAGAAATACGAGAAATTAGACAGGTTTTTTACTTTTATACTTTGTAAAATTCATAAAAAGATCCCGTAAAGCTTATTCTTATTATATTGCAAAATATTTTAAGGTGAACTTACAGTACATCTCATATATTAGTAAAATTAAAACTTACAGGTTCTTACCAGTTCTTTAATTCAAATCAATGATATATTTTACACTTTTAAACAAAATTATCAATTTTTTAAGCATTATCTTAGAGAATAAAAGATACATGAAAGCTAAAAAAATCGTATTCATAAATTAATAATTAAAAAGCAAGGAAGAATCCTAAAACCAATATTTTTAAAACAAAATATCTTAAGATAAAAATAAATGTACTTTTATTTTCATAACAAATAAGGTATACACTAATAACTTGATTAATCCACAGTCTTCTTACAACCTGCAGGCTTTTCTGCAGAGAAAATGAGTTTTTTTCAAGTTGCAGTGTAGAGAAACAGTGTGTTTCATTATATATTTTTGTTCAGTGAAAGAAAAGCATTTAATCTGGGCTTGTAGAACAGGAGTGTTAGAATAATAAGTGTTATGTTAAATAAATGTACACTCAAAAATAATTCATAAAACAAAAATGAAGCTAAAAACAGTATTTAACACTTTTTATTAAAAGTTTTAATTATTATAAGTTTAATCTAAATAATCATTTACGCAACAATAGAATTTTAATAATAACGGTTGTTTTACCTTTAAAGAGTCACTATCAAGACTAGCAATGATATATTTGCAAACTTTTTCAAATCTCTAAAATGAAACCATTAAAACAATTTAGTTTTATTGCAATAAAAATATAACAGAGCCCTGATAATCTGATTTAATCTAGCTTATCACTATCTGATTACTGAAAACTCAGTTTAGGTAGATCACACTATCATCCAAAAAAAATTAGCTATAACCAGACGTCTACAAATCCTGCACACCTAGTTACCACGGGAACTAAACAACTGTAGCTGGTGCCCAACATTTTAGTAAAATTTAGTATAAAAGCAAAATGCTGTATGATAAAAAAATTTTTACAACATGTAGGATCCTAAAAATTGATTCTGGAATCTAAAAATTTTGCATTTTTGTAGTCCCCAGCCTTTTAAATACAGTCGAACCTCATTAAGGTGAACACGCTTTAAATGAATTTCTTTAATGTGAACAAATTTCTAATTCCCCGTCAAATTGAATAAGCATTTAATGCTTCAAAGTACTTTTAACGCGAACTCGAATTTCACTACTCTGGGAAAAACTCTTAATTTTGACGTGAACAGAAAACTTATTTCCTCTTTGATCAGTAAGAAAACTGATCATTCATGGTTCTATATAAAAAAGAGTAGCCATTTTAATGCTTTGTTTTAGTGTTAATAATGAGTTTATATTTGGTTACGTTAGTTATAGTTAAGTTGAGTGATAACCTTTTCATTGCTGAATATTGACATATAACATAAAATTTTTCATGTCAGAAATTCTAGTCTGTGCATTTTTGGTTTTATTATTTTGCGTGCAAATAAAAATTGGATATTTTAAAAAATTTTTATCTGAAAAGAAATGTATGTTAGAATTCTGTGATTCATAACTTTACAATGCAACATTATTTCGCACTTTTCAGATATTGTATTTTGTACACAATGTCACATTTCATATTGATTTTACCAAACATTTTGATTGATTATTTTCAATTTTATCAAATATGCTTCATTCCTTGCACTAGTAGGGAATCAGATTATCGGGACTCAACTGTAAATACATTTCAATTTAAAATATTTTGATATTCAAAATAATCACCTCTCTATCACAGACGTCTTCACTGATGACAAATATCAGTTTCCTTATCACTTTGTACATATCTATGACTATATAAAGAACAAATGTTTAAAAATACTTAAGAGAAACAAATCTGCTTCTTTTTACAAATCATGTAATGATAATAAATAGCATTTTATCTGAAATTTTTTTATTATTTCATGTTATTTTAACAGAATACTGAACATGTTTAAAGTATGTTATTTTAAATTACCAAATTTGAGTGAAATCAATCAAATAATTTCAGAGTAATAAAAATAAAATTTCTAAATTTTCATTTTTTCAAAACTATTTGACTAATTTAATTCAAACTTTGGGTTTGGTCTTTTTAAATTGGCAATTAATAATACCAATGTAATAATAACATTAACATATAAAAAATTACAAGACAGCAAATATCTGGTATGCTGGGTGGTGTATTAGGTCAACCGCTGTCTATAAGTCGATTATTATTCCCATAGATATCATGTGTCAAATTATACTATATTCTGCTGCAAGTTAAGAAAAACCATTATCCCCATGGTGAGAACCTGTTTGCATCAAAACGTACGCTAAATGGGCGTGAAGCTCCAAGCGTGAACGAAAATCAACACTGCCAACTCTTGAAACTACGTAACATGTCCTTCATTTTGCTTATAAAAAACAGCAATAATTAAATTTCTGTCTGACCAGTTCAATTTTTAAAAGATTTTACATTGTTCTGAAAGCATAATTATATAATTATGGCTAAATAAAACATAACTACATGCAACCGTGGATGATTACTTAAATCCTATACTGCAATGGTCTTTTCTTAACTTGCTACGGAGTATAGATGCATGGCAAAATGTGGATTCATGTGTTATTGAAAAATGTTTTAAAAAGAGTGATGTGTTGAAATCTTTGGCTAGTGGTGACGAAGATGTTTTGAGAAACTCAACAGATGAGAATGAAATATAATTCATGGCAGAGTGGGATCCGTATGACGATACTGCTAAGGTTATTGAATTCGACACATGTGATTTTCTGGAATCTTTAAATTTGTAGCTTGATGGTATTTTTTAAAAAAAGTTTTCATCGTGTTATTATGTTAGAAATACACATTAATAATAATAATAATTAATACTCTATAACTTTCCTCGTTCTCATTTTTTTCTGAATGTATTTCAAAATATAGTGTTTCTAAAAAAAAAATCTTTCTCTTTAAAGAAAATATAAGAAGAGGAAATTCAAATTCAATTGTATATAACATATTAAAAAAAGTTTTTGAAAGTAATTTGTAAAAGTAAATTGATACAGAGTTATTCACATCCATCTCATTGTTTATAATGTATCGATATTTTACGATTAGCAAATTTTTGACATTATTACCGGTGCCTAATTTGACACCTAATATATAAAAATTTTGGGTTTTGAAATGTAAACTTATACCCCAGAATATAAAATATAGATATATTTATAAAAACTCAATACAAACATACCTGGTGGTAACTTGTTACTTTCAGTGAATTCAAGAAAGGTTTCATCAAATTCTTTTTTGACATTCTGCTTTAAGGTCTTTCTAGATATGTAGCCTCTAGTATATGCCTAAAAAAATAATCTCTCAGTGCAGTAAAAAATATAACAGAAGTTCAAAAGTATTTAAATTTTCAATAAAAAAATGCAAAATTACTGATACAATTGAGATTTTTTTTTTCTTAAAAAAGAAGCTAAAAAAAGGCAATAAAATACAGTGCTACAAAAGTAGAAGTAAAATCAGTGGGTACAACTGCACACACAGGTTTTCATTGTTCTAGTGGCTCTGGTTTGAAAAAGATTTTAATGAGCAGTGTTATTCCAGTAGACATTGGAAAAATGGGTCAATATAATTCAGGACTTCTTTTAATGAACAGAGATCTGTACTTAAAATAATTTAAATCTCCTATATAAAGGTATAAGTATATAAATGAGATGAGTACTGTATGATTAAGAAAAATATTTTAAAATTAGTAATTGATTCAGTAATTATTCAACAAAGAATTAAAACAAAAATTGCCAATTAATTGTCCTTATAAGATCCAAATCAAGTGATATTTTTATAAGTTAATTTCAATAAACTAGATTCTTTTTGAATTGTACTAATTCACAGTGCTGATTAGATATTTTAAAATAGTATTTTGCTATAAGTAGGATAATAAATCGAAATCACTGACATTTGAGTAGCATGTCTGATCAGACCTGAATAATATACATGAACACGGTTTGTGGAAATTTTTTTACCATTATTAAAAAAGAAAAACAAATGCCTCTTCAAAAAAAAATTTTTTTTTTTTTTAAATTTCTGAAAGAAAAAAAAGACTAATTTTTACCCTTTTTCCTACCAATGCAAGAGCGATTTCAAATAACATTCACATAATTTAAAATCACACTTTGCGATTCCTTTTTACACGCTTAATAAATGAGCATAATTTTTCAGATTTTCATGATTTTATATCAAATATTGCGTTTTGTATGCACGTTATTTAAAAGCCACTCTCATGATTCATGTTCATATGACTTAAAAATTATTCATCGGAATTTCTATTCACAAGATTTGAAAATCAAAACAAGAGATTCATATTAAAGCGATTATAAAATCAAACATCGAGAATAGTATCCACAGGATTTCAAAAATTAAATTCGAGATTCATATGATGTAAAAATCACAAAATCAAGATTCATATTCACACAATTTATATAAATAAAATCTCGCACGAATAGTTTTATTAAAGTGTAACTAACATTCTGTGGATAAATGCTTCCTACATACACTTTTTCCATGCTGTAAATTTTGGTATTTTATCAATGATTTAAAAAGTGTTTTTGTAAATGAAATATTTCGATTCCTATTTTTAGCTTTCTAGGTTTTTGATCAAACATATCTCTGTGGAATGAATCAATATGGAATTCCATAATATATTTTAAAAAAATCCATGATTTTTATACAAATTTCACCAAAATGAGGTCACCACAAAAGGGTTAGTACTTACAAAATTTAATGAAATGCTCGCAGGAAGTTATTAAATTGAGAATTTGTGTTCGCAGTAAGCTTTTCATTTTATCTAACTTTGTGTATGATACCAGTTTGTTAAAAAATGAAAAATCTGCTTTAGCATAGATTCAGAATAACAACAAATTATCTGAAATGATCCATGAAGAAACATAATAGAATAAAATATTATTTTCACTGAATATTGGTTACCATTTATTTTTTTATGATAAATACATCTATTAAATTTCACAAATATTTTTCAAGCCATTTAAAGTGAGAATAACGAGTCCCAGTGGACTCATTATAAAATTTTTTTTGCATCCCCCGAATGATTTGGTTGTATATTTGATGCCCTACATAGCATAAGCAGAATTACTGCTATACTGTTCACATTTCAAACAATCATAATTGAGTTTTTTATCAATATAAGATGAATAAATCAGTTACTTTAACAATTTTTTTTTTTTTTTAGTGATACTTCAATCTATTTAATTGGGCATTTTTTTAAAATAAAAATTGAACAAAATTGAATTGACAAAATTGAAAATTGCAGAATTTTTAAAAACAAATTAAGTCAACTATAGAAAAGAAAAGTAGGAATTTATAGGTTAACACAAGTTATAAGTAACTTTTTCCTCCGCATGAAAAAAAAAGATAAGATTAACTATAATATCTTTGAAAAAGAAGGCAAGAAATGAGATATAAGAATGCTTATTTATTATTATTACTTATGAAAACTTGAGGTAAGATTTTCATATCAGTACCTACGCAAAAATAATTGCCAAGTTTTGGCAACTTCTGTACAATGATCCTTTAGAAACTAAAGAAAAAAATATCGCTGAAGGGGACCAACTTGAAAGGTATAACTTGCAGTCACCAGCAGGTAAAACAATACACATTTTTAAAAAAGTTTTGTAAGTTAAAAAACCCTTTGGCCGCTTGGTGAAGATAGGTGTTAACAGTTACTGGTACTAAAATATGATTAAATTTCTGAATAACTTAATCCCTAAATTTGATGAGGGAAACATTCAAGATAAGTAAGAAAATCATGAATAGTTCTTAGGTGAACTATTCTATTATGCTAGTCAATGTAGTACGAGTTAAATCTTTTTGTCTAACTTATTGCTGCTTACTTAAATATATTACTACTTATACAAAAGGAATTATTCTTCAATTTATAACTGTTTACAAACAAGGATCATTAACGACAAAAGAAAAGCTTTGCAAAAGGAAATTATTTGAAGATTTTTAATTTCTAAAGCAATATGCAAAGAAAACAAAATATTCGTCTTACTTGTATTATTAAAGTTGCTTGTTCACGTTTTTTCTCTAAAGCTCTTTCTAATCTAGCAGCTTTAGCCTGTTCCAAAAACAGGTCTTTACTACTAGTATTTGATATTTCAAACATTTTTTTAAAATTTATAAGCGGTAACGCTTAACCTAGTACTGCACATAAACTAAAACAATTAAAAAACATGTTCTAATAATTTTTAGGAAAATAATTCAAATATACTTTATAGCATATTTAAACTAAAAAAGTAATTAAGTAAATGGTTGTAATTAAAAGAGCTTTGAGTTCATAAACTGCAACTGTTTTTAGACAATGTTATATAGAGTTTCCGTTTCAAATAAAAATATGATATTTCTGATATTTGTACAGCATTACATGTGCAATCAATGAAAAATTTCTCAACATTAAAATAAATATCCCATTAAAATTTAAAGACAATCAGACAGCTTTCAGTTTTGATGTCTTGTTGTGTATTAAAAGTCACCATTGCCAATTTTAAAATTGTAAAGTACACCTTTGTTACAATTAACTGCATTTATGCTGTTGAAATATTTTGAGTATAGTAGCGCCCTCTACAGTAATCAGTTTTCGAGCTTTCAATCACATGGTAAAGAGTGCTACCTAGAGTTAGAATGATTTTTTTAATAATGTCGAGGAATTCTTGTGATATCCTGCTCTCATTATTAACTAGTTACATAAATTAAGGAAGTAATAAATAAAAGGGTGATCACAACAAAGCTTACTGCAGCAAAAATCTGAAAAAATTTATTTAGTGATTCATAAAATTTTTTTGAGCTTTCAAAAATTTTTAATGCATATTCTACCTCATAATAGTAAATTTAAAAATGAAAAAAATGTGCTAAAATGGCATCAAAGATTCAGATGTTGCAAAATTCGCGATCGCACCACTCGAATACGCCATCTGGGGAGAGACTGGTTTCATGCCTTTAGCCCTTCTCCCTTCCCTCTCCTCCTCTTTTCAGTTTTATAGGAATGTACTACGATAATTTCCCTTTTCTAAATATTTTCCCCTTTTATTTAATAAAAATATTTTTTAAAATTTCTATGATACTTTTCTTTAGAACTATGTTTAGTGTAGTTTTCAGTTCCATATAGTTTTTTAAGTGAAAAGATTTTAATCTATGTGAAAATCAAGAGAGATCTAGCGTACTTCCTTCCTCTATGACTTTCGACACGCTAATGGGGAAAGCATGTGAAGTGTTGCCATAGGAAAAGAGTTCTGCTCTACGCCACCTGCAGCCCATTTCGATATGGGGAAATAATATAAACAGTGAATATTGTGGTTACTATGACTACTTTGCATTTTGACCATCTATGCTTTGGGCCATATAACCATTTTTTTTAGTCAAGTGGAGAGGAAGAGCCCTTAGTCCAAGCGCCTAGTGGCCAAACGACTGTCTCTTGATGAAAAAAATTAGGCTTATGTGGCAATTTTCACCCTTCATAGTGCGTATTTTTGCCTATGATAATAATACTACCTGCAATTTCGCTTTGTGCTAATCAGAGTAGAATTTATGTTTTTTACAATAATAAAAATAAAAGATTTTATAAAAATTGGTCTCTGCAGCAGATTCTCTGGAATTAATTACATGCACACTTTTAATAATGAAGTATTCGCAGAATCTTATAAGATTCTCTGAATACGTAATGACTAAATATAGAATGAGAAATTTTAAAAGAGATTTAAACGCGCAGGCATTTAAGAAAAGTTCCCCTAATTTTTAAATTTCAACTGTTATCAAATTGCGTTGCCTATTATTTAATGGCGTTTCAGAAATGGTTTGCCAAATATCGGTTGCCAAATATATTTTTTAAGCATGAGAAAGTATTAAGAAGTATTTATTCGTGGTTACATGAGCCAGTTTTTAAAAAATTAGAGTAGCAAAACTTGTGCGAAATCGGTTAATAGCTACTAAAAAATTGAATTAAAAAAAATTGTATTTTTAAAATTCGATTTCTCAGGAACTATTCAACCGATTTCACACAAGTTTTGCATTTTACCATGCAAAATTATATTTTTCAAAATGATGTAAAAAAATAAATACCAAACAATTCAAAATTTTTCCGATTGGTTTAAATAAAATAATAAATATTTACCGAAATTTATTTTTTGTTAGGAATTATCTTTGGATAAAAGAATTTATAATTGTGGGCAAAAATGTTTTAATTCACCTAAAAAGTTCTAGACATATAGCGAAATACGCAAAAAATAAAATTAACATACTAACACTATGAGGTCATAACTTCGGATCATTCTCCAGACCAAACTGTGGGGACCATATTTTCCAAATTGCGGCTACCCCTACATTTCGAGAATCAGAAATCCAAATCTGCTGAAAAAAAGGTATGTTTATTCAGAGAAAGTACGTTTTTGTGTCTGACGGCACTAAAATATTGTCTGTGCTAACTAATTAGTATATTCGTGGTCACCCCTTTAAGCCATTAAGATCGAGTCCTAAAAAAAAAACTAAGCTCAGTGGCGCGACAGCCTATAGAGGTCCAAGGCCTATTGTGCCCATCTCAGTTTTCTTGACCATGGCATGGGCTTTGAGGAGCAGGAGCAGATGTTCCGGTTAGGTGGTCAGCCGAAAGCGAAACCCCCAGTGTTTAGTTCTCGAGCATGCTTGGTACTCATTTATCGACCCACTGAAGGGATGAAAGACTGAATCAACTTTGCCCAGCCCGAAGATCGAACCTGGGACACGGTAGCGCGAGGCGCTACCTCTCAGACACCGGGCGTCAAGATCGAGTCCCAGAAAGTGAAAATCCAATCATTAGATCAAAAAATATTCTAGTAGGTCCGTTTCTTTTCTTTCTTTCTTTTTTTTTTTTTTTTGGCGAACTGTGTATCGAAAATTATTGAGAAAATGCATTTTCATCCATTGAGATAAAATCAACGTTCCATATGTGTATACATTTGCTTTAGAATGTGTGGTTAAAGGGAAAAATTGGCTATTATTTATAATAACTAATCTAAAGATTAGTACTGATACATAATTCTAAATACGTAATTATTATTAATGCTCTGTCAGACGGTCATTAGTATTCATCATTTTATTAATTTTGCACTCATAATTTTAATTGCGTAAGTTGACTGGACTTAGTTTTGCACGAGCAATTCAGCAACAGCCCATTGTGGGCCAAGGGGATGATGGAGGTTAAGACTCCACAATTTTGAAACCAGCGGTAAGACATGGAAAATGTAGCCAGCATTACGCACAGGCAGCCTTTACCTTCCAGACAACTATCTGAAGCTATGTGAGGTTCAAGCCAACGCTGGGAGCATAATATAAATTATTTTCTATTTATTATTGCGGAACTGTTAATAAGCTTAGATACAGATTTAAAAAGTTTATTATTAATTTTTAATTAAAAAAGAAATATCTTGGATTATTTTATAATAAAGAAAGAATGCTTTTAGTTATGATTAATTATTGGATTGGAATTCGGAAGATTTGAAGTAGTTATCAAAATTAAAAAATATAAACATAGTAGCAGGGAAGTTAAAATAAAGTGCTATAAGTAATTATTTCAGGGAGCTTTAATAAAACGGATGAATAAATATTTTACAGGCACCTTTACCTTTATAATATTTTTTAATTTTATGCCTGATAAAAAAATAAACAAGATCTCATGTGAGAAAAATTTGGGTCATACTTATGTGATTTATCTGCCTAATTAGAATACACGGTCTAATCATAATTTTATTCTGATTTTATGTATATCGATATATTAGTATACGTAATATTTATTTGTACTAACATTCAAGAAAAAAAAAAGGTAGGTAGGTAATTTATTACATGCTAAATATGCTGAAATATATACATGCTTAAATACATACGTAAAAATTTTCTGAAAATGTCCACATTTGTCCAAAAGTGCTCAAAGAATGTCTTTAAAACATACTTTTTTCTAACCAGTACATGAAATTTTGAACAGTCCACATAAAAGAAGCAATAGAGCGGACACTTTGTGAAATTTTTATAAATTTTTTGAACAAAGCGATTCTCTTAAAACTGGTTTTTGGTTAAAATTTGTGTGTCAAATTTTCAGAAAATGCCTTTATTTGTCCAAAAGTTCTCAAAGAAGGTCTTTAAAATAGATTTTTTTCAAAAACCAAAACATGATATTTCCACAGTTCATACAAAAGAAGCAATAGAGCGGACACTTTGTGAAATTTTCAAAATTTTTTGAACAAAGCGATTCTCTTAAAACTGGTTTCATGCTAAAAGATGTACGTCAAATTTTCAGAAAATGCCCTTATTTGTCCAAAAGTGCTCAAAGAATGTCTTTAAATCAGACTTTTTTTTTATTAACCAAAACATTAAATTTCCACAGTCCACTTAAAAGATGCAATAAAGCGGACATTTTGCGAATTTTTAAAATTTTTTGAGCAAAGCGATTCTTTTAAAACTGGTTTCTGCTTAAAATATATGCGTCAAATTTTCAGAAAATGCCCTTATTTGTCCAAAAGTTCTCAAAGAAGGTCTTTTAAACCGATTTTTTTGAAAACCAAAACATGGAATTTCCACAGTCCACATAAAAGATGCAATAGAGCGGACATTTTGCGAATTTTTATACATTTTTTGAACAATGCTGCGATTCTCTTAAAACTGGTTCCATGTTGAATATGTGCCTCAAATTTTCCGAAAATGATCTTATTTGTCCAAAAGTGCTCAAAGAATGTCTTTAATTAGTTTTTTTTTTAAAAGCAAAACATGATATTTCTGCAGTCCATGGGAGCGAGAATGCGCGGTATTGGTCCTCGCTACTACCAAAACGGCCAAGCTATTCCCACTGCTGAGGACTGAAATAGTGATGGCATGTCTTCAGATAACCCCAGGAATGATTCACAGACCGTCTCCAGTGCCCATTGTGAACATGAATATGAATATTTAATTGACATGAATATTTAAGTTTTCAGTTAGTAGCCAGTGGCTGGCAGACTTTAGTAACTTTAGTAGTTCTTTTTTTCTTCAAACCTAATGAGTCGGTCACAACTACCGACTGGTTCTCTTTATATAGTAGACACTTTATGCTTTTTTTTGTTGCATAGGTTAAATTATGTATTTCTTTTAAAGAAATTCATATTGGAAATAATCTACAGATATAAAAAATTAATTTTACAATAAAAAAATAATGTAAAAATGTGACAAAATTTAGTTAAGCATCCTGACTTGACTCCACCGAGCAAGAAAATTTATTGCGCAATCAAAAAATTTCAAAATAAATAAATAAATAAAGATGGGAGTGCTCAGTTGCTTATTCAAGTCCCCTTTTTTTTTCTTTGTTGACTCGCCACGTGAGTATTTATTTTCCGGTCTACATTGTGCAGCTTTAGGAGCGACGTTAATAAAGTTCTGCTAATATCACATTTAAATGCTTTACTTTTTACTGCATACTTTTGTAAGTATGACGTTACCTCTGTCGGATTAAACCATCCCTGTTTTTAACATCCCTGCTATTTATTCTATTGATG